ACGCAACAAGAGAGCACAGTACAGTACTTGACTCTTGGGGGGTGGGGTGGGAGGGGGGTTTCATGAAACCTGGAGAAACTGTACTCATCAGTGCCTGTGTGCACGGCAGACGTCATCTGATTCATTGGACACGGTGGCCGTGTTTCTTCAGATGTGAGTGAATGCTGTGGTGGTGTTTGTTTTAAATCCAGTGTGTGTTGTGATTATCAAAAGCAGAGAAATCTCGTCAGGGGATCTTGTTAGCGCAGCACGACTCATGTAGCTCCTCTAACCGCTGAAGAATCGAATCAGATTTCATCCCGGTGCATCAAACTGTGAGGTGTAACAAAGACATGATGCACTGGCTCTTAAATTTGCCCGTGAATATCAGATTACAATATGTTCCAAGGAATTTATAGTAGGTTTGATTTTCATGAATTAAACATGGCTGTCGCACATTAACCAAAGCTCACATATAGACAGGTCTCAGTGACGTCACTGTGAGATGTGCAAGAACTTATTAGATCAACAGGATGAGTTGTCTTTGTGATTTTAAACTGCACAAATCTCCAAGCAACGGGTGGAAAATCTCCAACGTCTCGAGAAGAGAAACTCAGAGCAGAATTAGCTACATGGTTTCTTATGAGTGAAGTTTTAGCTTGTCATAACGAATGCTAACATCGTTTTTTTAATGCTAACATTAGGTTTTTGTTTTATTTTACATTTTTAATGCTAACATCACTTTTTTTTAAAACTGATATTACTTTCTTTTAATGCTAACATTAGGTTTTTTATTTTACTTTTTTAATGCTAACATGCCTTTCCAATGCTAATGTCACTTTTTTTAAAACTGAGATTACTTTTCTTAATAGTAATGTTAGTTTTCTTCATGATGAGGCTACTTTTTTCATGCTAACATAATTTTTTAACGCTAACATTACCTTTTTTGGTAGTAACGCTACTACTTTTGTTCATGCATGTAATGTTAGCATTAAAAAATAATGTTAGCATGATAAAAGTAACCTAAACATGACGAAACGTAATACATTAGCATTCAAAAGTATGTCAGCAATTATGTTTTAATGCTGTCATTACTTTCTTTAGTGTAATGTTACATTTCTTCATGCTTAGGTGACTGTTTTGATGCTAATGTTATGGTCTGGGATACAGACACAGGTAATTTCTCACTAAATATGCGCTAATGCTGTGAATTCTTGGCGCTGCTACTACTAGCTGCAGGCTAGCTAGAGACGACTGATGTTGCTGCGTGTCGTACGTAAGTTTTGTGCTACATACAAATTTACCTCTAACTCGCTATCAAATTACTTCTATGTAATTAGGACAGTTAGCTGGTGAACATAGTGGAGCATTTAGCAGCTAAGGAGCAAGATATTAAAGATTTGTGCAGCACCATTGTGGTTTTGATAGAATAACTTTTGCATCTGCAAAGCAGAACAGATCTTATTTGCAGTTTGTTTTTTTCTTAGAGCTGTTGTAGCTGCAGAAAAGAGCAGACAGGTGTGTAAATATCCAGCTCCAGAGGTAAGTGGTCTCAGCTCTTGACACATTCACTGTCTGTTGCCACAGTGGGATGGTGCACACACACACACAGAGGGTTTGAGTGTAATTTGAATGGGTGGACGGTATACCGGGGTGTGTTTTTCACGGGGTCGGTTGAGCGGCCTCTGGGAACAGGCTGCTGGCAGACGGTGCTGTGTTTAATGGACCGGCGCTGCTTTCCTCTGAGTCGGTTGCCTCGGTGGCAAATTTGGTGCAATTTAGCTGTGGGATTTTTCATTCTGCCATCACATGGCACTTTGATAGAGGACAGCTGGCATCCAGTCACCCTCTTAGTGGTGGCGATGGGACATTTACTTTGTCTGTGGTGGTGGTGGAGCAGACACTGACTGTGATTTTTGGCTGTGAGTTCAATTAGTAAGCTTTCAAATTTAACCAGGAAAACTATTGCATTGTTTGAAATTTCCCAGCGGCTGCATGAACACAATCTTTTGTTGGATTTTCTTGGCGATTGTGAAAATGTTTTCACATCGTTGCGGCAATTTGAGCCACACAGCAGTGCTCGCAGCTGCTGGTTTCTGCAAAAGCCAATCTTCCTTTATGATTGGCTCCATGTTTTATCGTTAATGCCACAATACGAGGTGCAAACTTCATCAGTTAAATGGATTAGAGAGGATAAAGTTACACAGAGAAGGCGGAGAGCTAATTTTCTACGTGCTGTGGTTTGGTAACTCTGTGTGAAATTGGCCATAAGCCCAAGGGATCTTTGTTTAGGCCTGAACTCAGCAGTGGACATTCCCAAAGTAATTACAGGGAATAGAGCCATATTCTACGCCCAGAGAGAGAGAGAGAGAGAGAGAGGTATTAAAGGAAGCTGAAAAGCATTACATCACATCTTCGTAAAGTACTCCCTGTTATTCTGAAAAATTTAATTGCAGTGTGGTTTCTGCCAAGTCAGAGTCCAGGAATTAAATGTGTAAGTGCTCAAGTTATTAGTAAATAAAAACTTTTGATTTTAGAGCATGTTTCCACTGGACTTACAATATATATATATAGATATATATCCTTGGTTGTCATGGTTACAATATAAACAGTTAATTTCTCACCGGAATCTAACACTGCTCTCCTGTGTCATATTCATCCATCCACCACAGACACTTTTCCCTTTTCGCTCCTGTCATAATTACTACGACCACTAGATGTCGCCTAGCAACAAAACGTAACTATGGGTCGTAAAAAACCTGCTGCACAGACGACCTGTGGACTCGTTTTTTTTTTTGTTTTTTTTTTTACATGACGGCCTGTTTATATAAACGGGATAACATGAGTCATGTGATCCATCATTAATATAAAAATGTATTATAGCAGCTTTAAACAATTTACGTCAATTTATTTAAAAGCTAAAATAATAATAGACAGTTTAACCTCCCAAAACACTCATTTAAAATACTTTTTCTTTCCTTTTTTGTATTTTAGATGGTTTAAATACGACACAAGTCTAGAGCCCGTTTATAAAGACTCCTGTCAATCAACACCCACATGCCTCTCTATAAACCTTAATATCTTATTAATGACTTAATGAGTTTTCGAGCTGGCCACCAGCGCACTCACTGGAAGAAGTGAATGTGGTGATTGAGACCATAATGACTTGTGGGAAATATCTCTCAGCATTTCCCTGAGAGACGCTGACCCGTCTTGAATGGGTGTCAGATTTGTCACAGCCGGTATCTATCAGCCATCAGTGTCATTGCACATTAATGTTCCTTTTAATGGGCTTCAGCCGTTGGTCACGGCAGTCGCCACTTTAGACGATAAAATACCAGAGAGCAGAGAAACATCTCCACCCAGAAAAAAAAAGAAGTATTGCTTCTTTTTTTTTGTTGTTGCTTGAAACACCAACAACTAAAATGATTAAATTATTATTTGAATACTTGCTGATTGACTTTCTGACGATTTAATTATCAATTATTGGACTAATCAGTGTATTTTCTCACTGTGCACCGGTCGTCTTCTTCACTGTTTTCAGTGGATGCAGGCTGCTGGTTTTTTTTGTTGATCTGCTGAGTCATCGCCCACTTTGCTGACGGAGGCAAATAAAAAGATAAAAAATAAAAAAAAAGCCTCGTCTTCATGTGTGACTCTGTCGACGTGTCAGTTTTCATCCGTCTCCGTCTCACACTTTGCTTCATGGGGGGTGGGGGTGGGGGTGGGGGGGTAACTGGGTCTCTGTTTACGGGCAGTTCTTCTGTAAGTCAAGGACTCGTTCATCACAGGATTCAGGGAGAAAAACGTCACCATTTCACAGACTCTTTTCTCCACTTGTCTGTTCGTTCTCCTCTGACTTTCACTGGATGGTTCTTGGTTTTTTTGGCTCCATTCTGACTAAAAACTCCAGAGAGAGAGTTGCAGGAACAACCAGCTCGTCCGGCTCCAACAATCATGCTGCAGTTAAATTTTCTCCCTATTCTGATGTTTGATGTGAACATTAACTGAAGCTCCTGACCTGTATCTGCTGCCACGTGATTGGCTGACTGGAGTAGGTGTTCTTGTATCTCGTGTATTTCCTAACACGATCACCACAACAACTTTGAAGGGTGTGTTCACACCAAACAAACAAAAACAGATACAGATATAGTGAAGATGTTTTTAAAGATAACGTTAGGAAGCTGATGTTGTTGCCTCGTGTTGTTTGCAGTCAGATCTTTCAGGTCGTCTTCTCTCTACATCCTGACCTCTACGGTTCATCTGCTGCAGCAGCTTGACCAAACATGCATAACCTAATCATGCACAGATGGACATACTGTGACACACACACACACACACACACACACACACACACACACCACTTTTCATCTGACATCTCGGCCCCTCCTCTTCCCTCTCTCATGTTAAATCAGCATCAGATTCACAATCCGTCTTAATCTGTGTAAGATTAAGTAGCCATTGTCATGTGACCCTCCTGCACTCGTCCCCGCCGGCTCACCGCTCGTTAGTTTGTGACTCTTGTGTCACCGGCAGCGGGTGGACCTGCCGTTTGGATAGATGGGTGTTGGACGCTGGAGGAGGAAGGGGAGCGGACGCTGTTTTTCTTATGGACGTGGAGGGTTTTACAAGCAACATGTCCTTTTACTTTAGATAAAATAAAAATAATCTTTATGCACAATCAAGGCAAAGCTGTAAAAAGGTAGAATATCTCCCTCATTCATACAAAGTAAAAATACCTCAACCAGGCTGCGTCTTCAGTGTGTGCACTGAGTTGGGATTTAGGTTGCTGGGGGATTTCTGGGATGTTGCTAGGTCAGTGGATTACCTTGTAATAGATCTGTAGGAGGGCTGGAGGTCACACACAGGATGTGTTGGATTGTGTGTGTGTAGAGAGAGAGAGGAGGGGTGGGGGGGTTTAATCCTCAAGACAAACATGGCGACTCCTCCTCTAGAAATTCAAATCTTCATATTCCACTTAAAGTCTGTTTTTTCTTTTTTTCTTTTGCTTCCTGTTTCAGGTGTGAATAACGATGACTCTCATCCTCGCCGCTTGAACATGCTGCTCGGGTAGCGAAGCCGACCGAGAGAGGAGCGTCTACCCTCTTACACTCCTTCCCCTCTGGACACACACACACACACACACACACAGAGTCGGCCCAATTCAGGCACAACCATGCTGATCAAGGAGTATCGTATCCCCATGCCGATGAGCGTGGAGGAGTACCGCATCGCTCAGCTCTACATGATCCAGGTGAGTGTGTGTTTTATTTTTTAGTTCATTATGAAACACCACGTCACATGATCTCGCTCAGACATGTCCGCGTGTACAGTGTGTGGACCAGACTCCATTAAAGAAGAGAGTTCACTGTCACTTAATAGACTGATTGTTTAGTGTGTCATTTCGAATGAAGACAAACAAAAAAATATATTAATAATCACTTTGATAATATTTGCTCACAGCTACATTACAGTGTGTTATAAACTATTTATTAAATGTTTCTATAAATGCTAAAAAAGTGAAATTCTATTCTCTATTGTCAAACTTTATTTTGTCCTAAACTGTGTGTGTAATGGGAGAGACGACAAACAATAATGATAATTAATAACCTTTATTTATATAGCACTTTTCAAAACAGCAGCTTCACAATTAGTAATAAAAGTGCGTAAAAGTCAACAATAAAAAACAATATAGTAAACAGATAAAACCAACAGGAATTTGGAGGAGGGCTTGATATGTGATATAATCATATAAGTTGAATATAAGTTGAAATGAAAACGATGTGGTGTTGATTTGAACTCCAGGAGAAGTGATATTAAAATACCTCGCAGAGGAACGTGTCTCCAGTCCGACAGCTCGGTTTCACTGAAACTATTTTAATAATAAAACTAGTGCTCGGTGTTGATGTCTGTTAACGAGCGAATGAGTCAGATAAGGATCTGTCAGTGAGAGTCCGGTCGTTAATGAAGCAGAGAGGAAGCTGGAGTATTTTCTCTGCGGCGGGCGATGATCCAGGTGGTTTGCTAACACGAGTCTGGAGTTGAGGTGTGTGTTAGTGTGTGTTAGTGTGTGTGTGTGTGTGCGTGTGTGTGTGTGTGTGTGTTTGAGGTCAGGAGTTGAAGGTGTCATGGTGTCACCCTGTACCAGAACAGGGCCGGTGAAGAACATGGTTAAAGGGTCACAGGGGCGGTGGTGTTGTTCTGCAGACCAGATGGTGCTCCATCTGCCTGTGGATTGTGTTTCATGTAATAATTTTTGTTCAAACACAAACACACACACACACACACACACACACACACACGTACACACACACTTTTACAAAATTACATATAAAAAAAGTGATTATTTTATTATTATTATATTATTATTGTGAGAGACAGGAAAACAAGGAGCTGAGTTTGTTGTTATGTGCAGATCATTACTGTGATGAGTCTGTTTGTCAGTAGGTTTCCACAGGATAATTAATCTTCTGCATGAAAATTAAACTGAATGGACATAATGATGTTAGAAACGCATCAAAACCAACAGATCGGCTTGGAGTTGTATGATAATAGAACAAGAGTATGACTGAATATCATGAGTCTGACTGCTTTTCTAAATGGATTTTTTATGTTTTAACTTTTAATTTGCTGGTATAATTATATGAACTTCGTCTGTCTGTCTATATGAGACCGGTTAGTGGAGGTGATGCCGCTGGGAGAACTGGTTCAGTTTCAGTCAGAATCTCAACATATTGTGTAATATCATCTTATATGAGTCTGTCTGAACGCAGGAGTTTGAGTGGATCAAATAAATGAGGTAGAGTGTGTACATTAGAGAGAGTTAGAGAGGCAGACTTGTGAACTCTTGGACGGAGCTGTTTGTGTTTATTATTATTATTATTATTATTATTTAACAGACACATGTTACAGTGATATCTGCAAGAAAGCAAATCCACATATTTCCCATAATGTTCCAACTATTCCTTAAAGAACAAGCTGACATTAAACTCAGTTCCTCTTCTCTTATCTGTCCGTCTCTGTGACCGGATTGAGATGATGTGCAGAAGTATTTGTTTATTTAAAAAGCCTTTATTGAAAAACTGCTTTCATATCTTACGTCCACGTTCGTTTACATTGCAGCTAATAACCGGCTCGCGCTCCACGTCCCTCCCGGTCATGTTAGACTCTTAACCTCTCACCTTTTAATTTCTGTTTGTACCTGTTATTATTATAGTATTTTTATCTCCTCCACAGCGTTGTGAATGAGGGGCTTTACCCGTCAGTGATCTCCGAGTTTAAATAAAGACACAATAAATGGATAAAATATTAGCGAGGGGACTTTACACAGAAGCACAAACTCAGTGTATCATCAGATTAAGAGAAGTGTAGGTGTCATTTGTTGCTGTAGTTTCTCTTGAGGTTTCATTGTGCTGATTCATCTTGGCAGCGCGCTGTGGAGGATGTTTGTGTGTCTCCGGTCGGGTTGAGATGAAGAAGAAATTCAGTGTGAAGTGAGAGGAAAGAAGATGAAGTCGGATGTCAAGAAAAAAAAAAAAAAAATTTCCACTTGTCAGAGTCAGTGTTTTTTTGTCCCCCTCAATTTTACTTCACACTTTCAGCTTGTTTTTCGTTTCTGCGCATCGTTTGTTTGCGGTGAAGTCAAGCTGCCGTCATCGCGTCCACGCGCAGCGATGGAGCTTTGAGAAGCAGGAGGAGTGATCTTACTGGTCGAAGATGCTCCTGAATATCAGCTTTGATAATGAACACTTTTACATGCACACACACACACACACACACACACATACGTCCGCTGCTGGTCCCCCCTCCTCCTCCTCCTCCTCCTCCCGCTCAGCGTCACAGCTGAGAGCCTGGTTGCCCTGGTAACCGGTGACATCAGCCGCAGCATGGCAGTAGCTGCCATCATTTGTTTGTGATATGGATGAGAGAGAGAGAGACTGAAAGAAAGGGAGGGTCGGAAAGAGAGAGAGAGAGAGAGAGAGAGAGAGAGCGGGAGGGCAGACATGATGGTTTTAGTCTGCATCGCCATGACGACATTACAGTATGTCTCGCTCTCAGAGCTGGAGACAGGTTTCAGTGTTATAACACCTTTCGCTCTCCGTCAGGGGAAAGAAACGGGTTTAAACACTGTGATTGGCAGGTGGAGGTGAGAGCGTCGTGGTGGTTAGAAATGTAGCTGCGATGATTTTTACATCAAAAATATATTTTTCTTTTTATTTATTTTTTATCTTTCACATCAACCATCCTGCTTCCCATAATACTGACTGGAGGACCAAATGTGGATTAATCCACCACTGAAAATAGTCCCCAACAAATGAGCAGCTGTTTTAGGGAATTATTTTATTATTATACATATACGTAATAATTTGGTCTGCATTGTTAGTTCTGTTGAGAATAACAAACTTTAAAATATATTCTTCCTGAAGAGCCCCGAGCTGCAAAACATAAGGACCTAAAATAAGATTTAAAGTTTGAAACTTAGTTAACTGGAGCTTTATTACGGCTCCAAGTAAATGCAGTAATTTTATTACAGCTGTCGCAGAATCCCAAAACATTTCAGTGCAGCCTCTAAAATGACCATAGGGTTGAATCAACACTCAATTTCAACCAATAAATGATCATCTTTAGTGTCACAAAAGCTGCAGTTAGTGGATGACATTGCACAGATTCAGTTCCTGTCATTTTGTTTTATGTCTCCAAAAACAGGTTGTCCTCTAATTATAAAAGCTAATTATAGCTGAGCTTACAGTATGGGGGGTGATTTCGTAGCAATATTATTTTCATCTGTGTGTGGAGAGTTGTGAAACTGTATCTCAGTGTCATTTCTGAGTGTGTAAAGGCTTGTGTAAACATATATATATATATATATACAACAGTTCTGTGTGAGCTCAGGGCAGAGAAAACCCTGAGCTAAACCCTGAGCTACAGACAGATCGTCACACACGTTTGAATGTGAGGGAGTGTAGCAAATGTTTAATGCCAAAACTCAGCCGGCGGAGAGGCGCGCTCAAGGTGGAATGAAGGATTGTTTGTTTTTCCAGCTCTTGAAGCGAAATCCTTCGTTTTTTTTTTCTTTTAAATAAAAGAACATTTTCATCCAATTTTTCATGAATCATAAGTAAAAGTTTATAAAAATTTTGACCTAATGTCAAAAAAGCAAAAAAGCCAAGTCATTTATTTAATTGAAGCAGCGACCTGCTGACAGTTTGAGACATGAGTGTCCGGTTTCAAACTGACGGCAGCCACAGAGGCTGAGAAATGGAAGTGGAGTATGAAACCTCTGAGCAGCTGCTGATAACGTTTGATGCATGAGGTTCTGCTGTAGGAACGTTTACGCGGACCTGAGGACGGGGAGTCGTGCACCGCCGGTTTATGCTAACCTTGTGGTGTCACATAAATTATTCAGGGACGGCTCAGCCCGGCAGAAGCGAGACCCTCGGCAAAGCCAGAGCCATTATAATTCCACGGACGCGGTCCTGAGAGTGTCTGCTCGACCCGGCAGCACTTCTCCGATTGGACATGGGCTGTGTTTTCTTTCACTTCTTCTCCTCATCTTTCTTCCCCTGTCAGCTGCTGAAACCCTCCGCTGCCTTCTTTGCAAATTGGCCGAGGCTCTTTAAAACGTTTCTTGACTCTTTTTCTTTTCTGTCTTTGTTTCAAACTGGACGAGTGCCTCTCCTCACAGCCCAGTTCTGACTCATCCGCCCCTCTGTGTTTTATATATTTGGTGCTCAGCCACTCAACTTTGTTCACATTCAAGGACTCAAAGACTTTGATAACTCTTTACTCTGCAGGTCTGTTATTTTACCAATAATTACCAGCAGCGAGTGTGTGTGTGTGTGTGTGTGTGTGTGTGTGTGTGTGTGTGTGTGTGTGTGTGTTGGGGAAGCTACTTTGAAAGCTTTGCAAGCTACCAATTACTTCACACTGGAAGAAGTTGAACCTACAGCTGCTCAGAAGAAGTTAGTTCAAACTGCTTTGTAGAAAAATCGAAGATCAAATCGACGATGTACACGTACGGAAGCCCAGAAAGGTCATACTGCTAATATTTAATTATCCTGTTATCTCCTGGCAACAAAGCTCCAATGAAATATAATACAAAAAAAGTCACATTCACAGGTTATAACATAAACCAGAAAAAGTAAAATACCCCTCTGTTCATGTGAATGTCATTGATTAATAGAGTAGCTGAGATTCAGCAGAAGAAATGGTCAAATAAACTGACTTCAAAGTTATTCATAGTTTCATTTGCAAAAAAAACCCAGTAATTTAACTACTTGAATCATTATGCACAGCTGAGTGTAGCTGAACAATCACAACTGCGAAACGTAGTTAAACTACCAGTTAAATTACATGTAGTTCAACTACTGAAGCAGTTTAAATGTCTGCACAGACTTTGTCACCGTTTATTTTTAAAAATATGTTTATTATTTTTGCTGGATAGTCAGAATGCAAACTTACAAAATGAGAATAAAATAAAATAAATGACCTCAGACATAACAACAGTAGCCACAGTCACAGATAGAATAAGTGTTTCTTTAAGAAGAACAAAATGATATTTACATATTTAAATTTAAAACTTTTAAACCTCGCGCTTCTCTGACTCGGGCGGTTCCACTGCAGCTCCACCACCAGGTGCAAAAGTTAACATGATGCTGCTGTAATATATAATCAATTAATAGTTATTTAAAATATGTATTTATCTCTTTTTATTGCTACGATGCACCAGAAAATATGGATGAAGAATTTCCTCACAGAGCTGCTAGCATGGCTGTAGCCTCTTAGCCTTGTTGTCGTCTGTCATGCCTCAACTGTGTGTGTGTGTGTGTGTGTGTGTGTGTGTGTGTGTGTGTGTGTGTGTGTGTGTGTGTGTGTGTGTGTGTGTGTGTGTGTGTGTGTGTGTGTGTGTGTGTGTGCGTGTGCATGCGTGTGTGTGTGTCAGATTTGGATGAAAGCCAAACACCAGAACACACACACAGAGCAGACGCAGCATCCTTGGTTCCCACTTGTGTTGCACAAGGCAGATGTTTCTGAGTGGCGCTCTGAAGGCAGCAGAGGGGGGGGGGGGGGGGGGGGGGGGGTGAAGGTTGTACTACAGTGAGGTGATGGATCCAGTGACACAGCAGGACTGATGCTCCATCTTCAGCCTCAGTTTTTCCTCAAAGTTCCCGCGGCGACGACGCCGTGTGCGGTCGACACACCTCGGCTCCCAGACGTGTGTTATTAATACAGATCCTCCGTGTGCTGCAGCGGAAGAGACGCAGACATGAGGAGGGTAATTTAAGGCCCTCAGCTCCTCACCTAAATTACATTACCTGCTAGATTACAGCAATTTTCCAGCTGTTTGCCTCCTCTGACCTTCATTACTGATATTACCTCCCTAAAGTCTCCAGGAGAGAGAGAGCTCCGTGTTCAATCCGAGCTCTCGTTCTTGACCCCGAGCACCCCACTCTCGCTGTTAATAATGATCGCGATGATTTGTATTCACACGGCGCCGTTCCTCGACCCGCAGCACATTACAATGGAGGGAATGAAACAGCTTTTCAATCACGGGTTTCGGAGGCAGGGTACAGTATCTACAGTGTGGTCGTCTGACGACAAAGAGTCAACGTTTTTATTCATTCATTAAAAACTGCAGGTCAACGGATGAGCGACGGAAACAGTTCAAATTAAAACTTATGAATGAGACTTTGATCAAAATTTTTTACAGATTTGTTATCAGTCAGGATTAAACACCTAAATAAATAAAAAAGGTGTTATTTTTAATCTCCTCCTCATCATTTCAACCAGCTGGCTCTAGAAAACTGAGTGTACCTCTTATCTGAAGGAGGAGAGAAGGTGCGCACATTTTTCTTTTATAAGATAAACCAGAACCGACGCTCCTCGGCCCCGGACGTTGACTGTTCACTCTTATCTTTGTAAAAGTTATCTCTGTAGGAATCAGTCGGTCAGCCTCCTCACTGGTACTGGTCTCTCTCTCTCTCTCTCTCTCTCTCTCTCTCTCTCTCTCCCTCTCTCTCTCTCTCTTCACCGGTTGCCAGATAAGATTCCTTTGCTGGGCGTTTTTTCATTACTGGCTCTAAACTGTGGAATAGCCTCGGTCACGCCTCTTTACTTTGCTCCTAACACACTCCAGGTCTCCTGGTTCTCTCTGTGCAAAGCATCTTGGGATTCCTCATATCGCTGCAACAGCTGATGACGTAAACGTAAAAAAAAACTCCAGGCCCCAGTTTTCTGTTTTTTTTTTTAATGACTGTTTGTGCCTCTGTGACTTTGGTTCAGTCTCTTTTACTCATTCTGACTTTTTGGTTGTAAAATTGACAGAGTTATGTTTCAGAGGAGAGCAGGGTTATGACTGTAATCAAAAGGGGTTGAAGAACAGTAACCTTTTTATTTTGGGGGCTTTATTTTTAAGCTTGTGCACAAAAATGATGAAGATTCTTTTTTTATTTGTTTTTATTTATTTGTTCTCTCTACAAGGCTTGTATCCAAAATTATTTATCCTTCCGCTTTTACTGATTTACTAATCTCCCTAATGTTGATGTTTGGGCTCCGGTATCAGATCCTGGAGGGGATTGATATGATTTACCAGCCTTATAAACACTCCATGTTCCTCCTGTGCAGCCGAGCGCCGCAGACGGCCACGGTCTAAATGCAGAGCCTCTTAAGGAGATGTAGTGTGTTTATAAACTGATGCTGTAATCCCAAACTCCCTCTGTGGAGCAATAGGCTTAATACACAGCTCAGTCTTACAGGATCTGAGGGGTTGAACCATCTGCTGCCTTTTATTACGGGATGTTACACGCTGGGCGGAAAGGAAAAGCATTGATTTTACCTCCTCTGTGCAGTGGAGCTCCCTCACCTTAACCGCTCTAAAAGAATTTAAAAAAGAAAAAGGAAAAGGCAGTCTCCCTTTTTCCAGCTCTGTGATGGAGGGGGCTTCGAATGAGAGACAGGAGTGCTGTGTAAGAGGAGCAAGGGTTTAATTGGACGTAGCTATAGGAAATAAAGGAGGGTGGGAGGATGTGTGTCAGGGGACCGGGGGCTGATGGATGAGGCTGAGTGGACAAACCTCTCAACCGTACATTTAATAAAATAAAAGTCCTGCCGCACTTTGACAGTTTAAGTTTGTTTTACTCACTGAAATATAATGAAATATAATGTGAGAGATGGTGAAAATGTCGGCAGTAACTGATTCGACTGATCCGTCCTGTCGTCTTTCTGCCGCCCCTTTAGAAAAAGAGCCGGGAGGAGAGCTGCGGCGAGGGCAGCGGCGTGGAGATCCTGGAGAACAAGCCTTACGAGGACGGCCCCGGGGGCTCGGGCCAGTACACGCACAAGGTCTATCACATCGGGAAACACATCCCGTCCTGGTTCTGTTCCATCCTGCCTCAAGCGGCGCTGAGAGTGGAGGAGGAGTCCTGGAACGCCTACCCCTACACCCGAACCCGGTGAGACGCCCCACACAAGAACCTGGGCCCCTGATTATCAAACTGCTGCTGGACTCAAGTCACTTTTACTCCTGCAAACAAAACAAACTCCCTCTTCTTCTTCTTCCTTCTTCTTTTTCTTCTTCTTCTTCTTCTTATTAATATTCTTCTTCTTTTTCTTCTTCTCCTTCTTCTTTTTCTTCTTCTTTATTCTTACTTATTACTTATTATTATTATTATTTATTATTATTATTATTATTATTATACATTAGCTGAAGGACTATGATTAAGAATACAGTAGTTTTAGTCAATTATTTCAGATTATTTCACCACTTATCTTCCTTTTTTGGGCATTGAGGGATTAAAACAGACAATAACATTAAACATGGAGCACTAAATTCTATATACGAATTAACTGAATTCTCTGTCACCCCTATTGATATTTTCATACATTATAAATATGTTAGTTTGTTGTTAATTATCCCCAGAGATTTAAAGATTTCACACAAATAAAATGAACTTTTCATCTTTATCTATACTTCTAACTGCTGCACACAGTCCTCCTCTGATCAATCATGTGATCATGTGAGAGCTGCTCTTCAAAGTCACTTTCACACTTCGTTGTAAGTCGGAGGAAATAACTTTTTTTTAACTGGTCTGAGACTCACACTGAACGAGTTTAAGAGGAAAAAGTCTTTGCACGTCGCCGACAGGCCGGACAGACACTAAAAATCCTCCCTGCGCCTCTTGGGAAAACATTTGCTCCACGTTAACACTCGAGCTTAACATTAGGCAGCCGGCGTTATCTAAAGCAAGACAGACTGACCTTTCAGTCATAAAACGTCGTTAAAGGTTTTCATTATACGGCTCCTAGATTCATAAATGTGATGAATGAAATAACATTTGCTTGATATTGCTGAAGGGGCATTTTTTTTTCTTTCTTATATTCAGCTGAGTAATCACATATCCGTCGGCCGAACACGCGCTGTTGCCAACTTTTTATCCTCCCGTTGACTAAATATCCGTACACCGACCGGTCCAGCTACTTTCTCACACCAGCAGGATTTTATGCAGCTGGCACCAGGTTCATGCAGATGATGCTGATGCTGCGAGTTTAGATCTGCCGGACTTCACATGAGCTTTGTGGCTCCTGCAGGGGTGGTGGGGGGATTTTATATAATTTTAAAGGTTATCCCGTTCAAATATTATAACAAATAAAGTAAAAGCAGCGATACTCAGAGGTGGGCAAAGGACATAACTTCCATCACTTAGTAGTTTCATATCATTTTAAAGATTACAGTGAACAGTCAGACTGATGGGAGGAGCTTCTCTTCTCTGCATTTCAGCTTCTAACTAACGGTTTCTTTCGTTGTCTCTCAGGTACACCTGTCCCTTTGTAGAGAAGTTCTCCATAGACATCGAGACGTACTATAAACCAGATACTGGAAACCAAGGGGATGTCTTCAACCTGTCGTCTGCTGAGAAGAGGCAGAGGACTGTGGGTAAGCAGATCATCGTGCACGCAAAAACACATGCTATCGAAGACTGGGAAATATACGAAGGAGGCTAAGGGGGAATTTATTCAGTTTAAGAGAATACAAAGACTTTATTTTACTCCTTCTAAGCTCCACATGATGCGTTTACTGACCAATAATTTATGCTGGAAATGTCAGACAGAAATGGGAACATTGTTTTGGGTGGGGCTCAATATATCAACTTATGACTTAGCAGTAATAAGGGTCGACCTCTATGTTAGAGATAGTATCATATGAACACACGTCAGGTGACGTCAGTGATGGAGGTGAAAACATTAAGAGGTTTTTTTTTTGCTTTTGGGACACTGGAACAATCTGGTTGTACTTCTTTAAGTTTCTTCTTCTAGTTTTGTGAAGTTTATTTGGGTTGTTTTAAATATGCACGTTCACCCGGGGATGTTTCATAACCAAAGATGATAACACTGTCTGTGCCACTACCATCGAGAACACTTTCAGACTTTAAACTGTGTGTTATGGATCCCGTCATCTCCTCATGAGCAGGAGCAGACATCAAATGTCCACAGTGATATTTGCAGTGAAAACACAGACGGTGTGAAACAGACTGTGGAGTGTAAGAGCTGGTGTTGAGCCTCTGAATACTAAAATTCACTGGGGTGCAGGGAAAAATATGCAGCCTGCTCCAGACACGTTCCCTGCAGGGAGTGATTACATAAAACACTCACAGAGACACACACACACACACACACACACACACACACACACACTGTGCTCTGGAGGCAGGTGATCAGTGAGGACGAGGTGACATCTGTCCTGCTCATACCTACTGCTCAGATCTGCTTTTCTTTTATTTAATGCATTTGTGTGTGTGTGTGTGTGTGTGTGTGTGTGTGTGTGTGTTTAGACCCCATAGACATCGTGAAGGACTACATCGCTCCTCACGAGTACCTGGTGGAAGAAGACCCGAAGCTGTATCAGTCCGTCAAGACCAAACGGGGTCCGCTGACGGAGGACTGGATCGAGGAGATCAACCAGGACCCCGGTCAGAACCCCGTCATGTGCGCCTACAAGCTCTGCAAGGTGGAGTTCAGATACTGGGGCATGCAGTCCAAGATCGAACGCTTCATACACGACGTGGGTAGGTATGACTGGTTTTCCTGGGGCGCAGGTAAAGCAGATAAATAAATAAATAAATAAATAAAATAAAATAAAATACTGACGACATGCGGCTGAGGAAGTGTGCGAGAGGCAGGAGCGCAGAGAAGAGTCTGGTTCCCTGAGATAACAGAGCGGACTGGATTAATTTCCTGCCGGCGTCGGGCTCCCTCAGTCTCACCGCTGTGATCTAAGACTGTTTATTCGCCCTCACAGGCCTCGGCTCGCTCCCTCACAGCGTTCACTTCCAGGCTAATGAAGCAGCAGCTGCTCCGCCTTCATGGCGTTTTTCACACTGTGGCTCTAATCAACAGATCTTTCTGCATCCGCCGCCGCTTCAACCTGCAACTTTTCCCCCTTTTTTTGTTTTTATGCTAATGTTGTGGGTTTTTTACTTTTTCAGATTTATGAATGTTACTACATATCAGCTCCGACGTAAAGTCTTTAGTCTAAATTGTGCTGAAAGGCTCTTTGGGTTGTACAACACAGCACCTTTGTTAATAATCTATTCAGCGATTTCCACTTTCATGCTTAATTTCATAATGTGTCAGCGGCTCTTTTCACTGGATCTTATTAGAATAGCTTTTCTGTGTTTGCTAATTTGGGCTTTTATTGCCAGGTTGGATGTTTTATTCATGATCTGCTTGAAGGGGCTTTAGGGTTGTGTAACCAGCTGGTGCTTGTTTAGTTCATCAAGAGGAAGGATGACATTGATTAAAATTTAAATCTCCTTTGACGTGACAGAGAGCGGCTCAGATATATACAGTATATATTGGCGCGATGTCACATGACATGTCACAGGATGGTCGTCCGGTGTTTTTGGATGTAAACTTGAGTAGGAAAAAAAAAAAAAGCAGCTGCGATGTCGAGAATGTGTGAGTGTGAGGTGTTAAAAATCACGTGTGGTGTGTGTTCACGCTAGAGAAGTGACAGAAATATAGTCGAACCACACGTTGTGCCAATTGAATAAAGTCGATTTTTGAGTGTGACGCTATTCTCAAACACATGGGCGCTCTAATGAAATGCTCACAGCTGGAAAACATTTAAAATTAAATTGTGTGTGGTGGTGAAACAGCTCCAGCTAGTTTAAACCGTCTGAACACATTCAAATCTAAATGTAATTATTACCATGTGCTCACAACAGTGTTAGGAGAGCGAATGGGTTTTTTCATGTCCTGGGTTTTACCCCTCAGGTCACATGGAGCCTGTCCTGGGCCTGCAGACAACACTCAGGGCTGCAAAACTACACACGCTGCTTATATTTAGAAAAAGACATTTAAAAGGAGCTTCTTTTATAAAAAAAGGTTTTCTATTGCTACGTAGCTAACGTTAGCATTAGCAGCTGTTTACTTACCAGTCTAGAAAAAAAAACGTTGCAGGTTCAGCATCAAACTTCATTCCTTTATTCACCAACAGCTGTTTCCAGAGGTGGAAAGAAACGCCAAAGTTAATGCTTTATCTCTTTCACGTCTTTCCTTTACTGAAGTTAGCACGCTAACCAGCTAGCCTCGGCGCGTCTCGTCACTTTCTGATAGCGACTCACTGTGGCCTCCAATCTGCCCTGAAGACGTAGCGCTGCTCAGACGACGTGTTATAACCTCTCGTCTTGTAAACGCAACGATGGCCGAAGCGCTTGTCGAGCCACAGTCACCACCGCCTGCAGGAAACCAAGAGCCCCTTATATCACAGGTGACGGTGTGAATTTTTTTTTTTACTATTCTGATGATCAAAGGAGTGTCCCTGAGGAAAGAATTGAATTTTAATGATAAAAACTACATTTCAGGTTTAAATTCTTTGCGTTATGTCAGTTTCCATCGATTCCCCCATGTCTGAAACCAAACCTCTTTACCTGAGGCAGCGTTCGTACCTCTGAATCTCTCAGGAAACGTTCTGTATTCACCAACCACAACTATTTATTTTTCACAGTTAATCCATTTTAGTTTTAATGTGTGTGTGCGTCAGTAAATCCTTGTCGCTCTCCTTCCTCCCAGGTCTGCGTAAAGTGATGGTGCGAGCCCACCGGCAGGCGTGGTGCTGGCAGGACGAGTGGTACGGCCTGACCATCGAGGACATCAGGCAGCTGGAGCTGGAGACCCAGCTGGCTCTAGCTAAGAAGATGGCCCAGTACAGCCTCAATGAGGAGGGGGGGATGGAGACCAACGGCTCCTCTGTCAGCCAGGACCAGGAGACGGGAGCTGAGACCGCGGGATCCAACGCAGAGGCAGAAGGAGGAGGAGGAGGAGGAGGAGGGAAGCTGGGAGATTCACTGGAGACACGAGGGGAGCTCACCAAGCAGTGGTCAACATCCTCTAGATCCTCCAACAGGTCGTCTAAGAGAGGAGGTGAGGACGACTTCCTGCTTTTTACCTCATTTTGTTGCTTTTGGAAAACCAGTGTAAAGGTCTCTGTCCATGTGTAGTGTGATTATAGATCAGGTCTAGCTTCTATATTAATACTGTGAAAGTATCAAAGCCTCAGTCCACAGAGAAATGCACACAGCCTGTATTCAGAAACTGAGCCTTAAAACCAGCCGTCAGGACTTCTGGAACTTTGTGATGTCACAACAAAGCAGTCACCAAGCCCCGCCCACCTGGACCCACCATCCAAACCTTTACAGGATTTGGTTTCTCTGAGTGTTTTTACCTGAAATCTGCTATATTTTTATTGGCTCACTCAGAAAACAGTCGGCCAATCAGAAGAGAGGCTCAGAGCCTCCTCTCCTCTGATTGGCTCACCGACCTGTTGTTGCTAGAGCTGCAGAGAGAAGCCTGAGAGAGGAGATGTAAAACTACACTGAGATGGTTTTTGGTTCTTAAAACCACAAATATATTTTCTTATGGATCAACACTTCAAATAAAACACAGAAGAAGAGGAAAAGATGGAGCTTTAATGTGGTTATTAACCGGATCTCTAACCTGCAGATGTGACACCTGACACCTCCTGTGTTTGGTTGTGTGCAGGTAGCCCGTCTCATCAGAGCATCTCAGAGTGGAGGATGCAGAGCATCGCCCGGGACTCGGAGGACAGTACAGACGACGAGTTCTTTGATGCTCATGGTAAAATCATCTGTTTCAGCCTGATGCATAATGAACTTACAGCTCAGAAGCAAATGGCTTTATTGTGTATTTTAAACTTGCACTATTTGTATTGTGTCACAGAATTATAAATGATATTTCACTTGTGCCTCCTGCTTCGTTCTGGCCTCACAGCAGGCAAACATTATCTTGACTGATTAGTTTATTTGTGTCATATATCTCAGGTTGTCTCTGTGTCTTTGGGCTGATGAATATTAGCTCACGGTTCCCTCTTTAATTCAGTTAATTCTCTTAGTTCAAAGGCGTTTCTTTGCATTGAAACATTCAATAGTGAAAGTATCAGTGAGTCAAACTTACAGAGGAGCAATCGTAGTTTATTGTGTTAGATTCACTAAATGAAACCTACAATAAACGACCCTGCTCTTCAAGATCGCTGCCAGAGAGATTCTCACTTTTATTTAGAAAGCATGTTTAAAAAGAGCAAAAGCAAAAGCTGTGAAAAAGAGTAATTTCTAAAGCAAGGTCAAAAATGTGCTGCATAAAAGAAGCGTACAGTCGCATCTTCCTGGTTGATCACCTTGTAACGAGGACGCCGTATTTCTACTGATTATTGCGACAAAAGATCGAGTAATTACTTTCCAGTGTTGTAAAAATCTTGTCTGTTAAATATGGAAGGTTTTTCTGTGTCTCATGCAGAGGACTTTTCTGACAACGAGGAGATGTTCGGCAAGGAGATGACCAAGTGGAGCTCCAACGATCTGATGGACAAGATAGAAACAATAGAGGTGGATGAAGCACAGGGTAAATGGGAACATGCTCACATTTACAGTTTGAACCATGTGTTGTTTCTTACTTTGAACGCAACATGGCTGAGTGAGTGAATCATGTTTTCACAGAGACTTTGTACCAGGAGTCGGGCGGGGAGTACGCCGTGATGAGTAATGAGGAGACGCAGATGGAGGTACGATTCCTTCACTGTTTTTCTCATTTCATTCACTGACACCTTTAATTAAATAACTTGTAGATAATACCCCTCCTCCTAAATTAGCCTTCAGTCATCCTGCTAGTGGAGTGAAATTAGGATCCGCTCTCCACCGCAGCAATCAGCTGAAAGTTTATTTCATTTTACACTCCCTCTGTGTGTGTGTGTGTGTGTGNTTTTTTTTTTTATACTCCCTCTGTGTGTGTGTGTGTGTGTGTGTGTGTGTGTGTGTGTGTGTGTGTGTGTGTGTGTGTGTGTGTGTGTGTGTGTGTGTGTGTGTAAATGCTGTCTTTGGGGGTGTGTGTTCTTGCTCTTTGTGTCCAGAGCTGTGTCTCGAAAAGGCACAAACTTCAATCCGTCAGGGTTTCCAGAAAACTAAATGTGAGTGTCTTGTAGTCAGGCAGTAGAAACGGATAGAATAGAGAAGAGAACATGTGAATAGATAGAATTTAATGTAGAATATAATATTGAACCCAGTATTTGTGTAGAGGTTGTGACTAAGAAACAGTCCCCAGACATGATCCTGGTGTTAGTGGCTCCAGAAAACAGTGAACACCTGAGATCACTTCGCCCTGCCGTCCTCAGCTTGGAGTTTTACTTTGATGTTCAAATTTCCTACTTTTTTTCTGAGCACTTGAAGAAGCCCTCGTACAGAGCTGAACAGCAGGGAACAGCAGGTGCTAAAAACAATCTCGCCTCAAAGTCCATTTAGTAGCTATTCTGTAGCTTTCACTCGCTTCACGCGGTCTTCCTCAGCAGATAGAGTCAACTGCTGTTAATCAACGTGGCAGAAAACAGTGAAAAATAAAGATTTAAATTTTGTTATTGAAATGACTTCAATGATTAATCTATTATCAAAATTGTCGTTGATTGATTTTCTGTTGATTGTCTAATAGATCTAGTTCTAGTATCTTTCCCTGCATGTTCCTCACTCGTCTCCCTCTGTGCTCCTCTCTCCTCTTCCTCCTGTATTCACTCGCTCCTCCGTCATTGTTAACCTTCTTTCCTTTCTCTCCCTCCTCCGTCTCCGTGTCTCCTCCTCGTCGTGTCACTCGCAGGATTGTTCGTCCCAGCAGTGTCTGCAGCCGTCCAAAATTCACGTCCTGGTCCTGGTCCTGCACGGAGGGAACATTCTGGACACCGGCTCCGGTACGGCAGCAACCCAATCCTGTTCACACTTCAACACGTGTTAAAAAATCAATACAAACAGATATAGATAATAGTGATAAACGCAAGTAACATAGTATTATTATATTTTTTGTCCAAAACCAAAACATATTGACTTAACAGTGACATAACAAAGAGACGGAGAGAAATCCTGATATTTGAGAGGCAAATATCTGGTATTTTTCTTTGATAAATGAAAACTCGATTATCAGAATTGGAAGGATTAATTCTTTCTTGATCGGCTAATTGTTAAGAAAATTAATTGTTTAAAAGTATTCAGGTGCAAAAATTAGAGTTTGCAAGACAAATAACAGGATAAAAGGGGGAAAAACACACATTTCTGCTGCATTTCAATGAAAAACAAGTTCATTTTTCCTTTTTGGGCCTCATTAATTCTTCAAAATAAAACCATAAAGTTTGTTGACAAATGCAACTTCTTCTCAAGATTTGTATTTTTCTGTTAAGTTGCAAAGATTTGGAACAACTGATGAAAAGTCCTGCAAACACCGATCAGGTTCTGTTCCTGTGCGTCCGCAGGTGAGCAGAACAGCAAGCAGGGAGATGTCAACACGCTGAGCGGGGCCTTCGAGACCGTGATGAGGGTCCACTACCCCGCAGCTCTGGGCCGCACCGCCATCAGGATGGTCCCCTGTCCCGCTGTGTGCGTCGACGCCTTCTCGCTCGTCTCCAAGTGAGCGTTTGGCCTTGAGTATTCAGCAGCATTTAAACAACCTGCCGTGCGGACGTTAAACACACGTTCACAGATCGTAACGGTGTCCTCTCTGCTCTGCAGTCTGAGCCCCTACAGCTACGACGAGAGCTGCCTGTCCAGCAGCCAGGACCACATCCCGCTGGCTGCTCTGCCTCTCCTGGCTACTTCTGCACCACAGTACCAAGACGCTGTGGCGACCGTCATCCTGCGAGCCAATCAGGTGTATAGCGACTTCATCAAGTCTTTAGAAGGAGCGTCTTTCAACGGCCAGGTAAGTGTGACACCTGAGGGCGGGGTGAAGGTGATCGGCCTCGGTGTCTTGGTGCTGCATGTTCAGATGAAGCTGATTCATGTGTGTGTGTGTGTGTGTGTGTGTGTGTGTGTGTTCATGTCTTCTTTGTTCTTTCTAATGCAGGTGTGTGTTATTGGCGACTGTGTCGGGGGAATCCTGGGATTTGACGCCCTGTGCAGCAGCTCAGTGACAGTGTCAGAAAGTCAGAACAGCAGCAGACGGGGCAGCGCCATCAGCGTGCAGGTATCAGACTCTCTGCTCTGACGGCACGCCATCAGCAGCTCCGTGAGGCCGCACAGTGTTCACGACGACAACGCTAACATGCTGATGTATCCGTATAATGTTCATCACATTCATCCTCTTAGAGCAACATAAAGACAAACATGACATATTACACAGTAGATAATAAAAACAATATTCCTAGACAGGGACGAGTCTCAGACGAATTAAAACTGAGGTGAAGCGGTGGCGGCACGAGGTGGGAAGTCAGTGGATCATCAAGGTTATTAGAGTTGATCCTGAAGGGAACATGAATGTGTGTTTCAGATTTCATGGTAATCCATCCATTAGCGCTACAGGAAAAGTCAGTGGGATCCATCCTCTGGTCATCCGGCATGTTGTTAGGATATTTCCTTGGATAGGAGAAATTTTTTAACCTGTTGGTGGCGCTACAGGAAAAGTCAGTGGGATTCTTCCTCTGGCGACCATGAATGTATTTACCAAATCTCACAGCAATACTCAGAACCATGTAACTTACATGGCTGAAAGCTTAACCACTAAAACACAGCTGAACTCTTTAACTCAAAACACAGCTGAACTCTTTTCTGTTCTGTCTCTCAGGACACGGACCTCCTCTCTCCGGGTATCGTCATAAACAGCGTCTCTCCTTCCTCGCCGTCCCTCGAAGGAAGCCGCCACCTCAGCCGCAGCAACATCGACATCCCTCGCTGCTCGGGGCCCGACGACCCCAAGAAACAGCTCCCGCGCAAGCGAAGCGACTCGTCCACGTACGAGCTGGACACCATCAAACACCACCAAGCCTTCCTGTCCAGGTGAGACGCACGCTGACGTGGACACAAACTGATGTGTTAGTTTTAGTCATTTGATTTTTAGACATTTGAGTCCAGGGGTTTCGGGCTACAGCTGTTCTTTGTCGTGAAAACATAATAAAATAAAAATAAAATAAAAACAAACAGTCTATTTGAGCTTGTTCTTGACCTTCACGGTGTCTGAATGTGTTTCTCTCTGAGCAGTCTTCACTCCAGTGTGCTCCACGCGGAGCCCGGATCACGGCGCTCCAGCAGCAGCACCATGTTGGAGGGAGGCTCCTTGGGAAAGTTCGACTTCGAGGTGACTGACTTCTTCCTCTTCGGCTCTCCCCTGGGGTTGGTGCTCGCACTGAGGAAGACCGTGGTGCCGTCGTTAGATGGTGAGCGACAGTTTCTCCCCTTTTTCTGCACCTTCCTTTCAGTTTATTGCGATGCTCCTCGTGCATTTCATAAAAGATGAACTGTAGGTTTATAAACGGATCATTTCTCTTTTGCCAAATGAGCCAGAAGTGGTTATTTGCAGCCTCTGATGTTTCTTCCTCTGTGGGATAAATGTCTCCAGCAGCTGGAAAGCAGGTGTCAGGGGTTAAAGGTCATATTTTCTGGTCTTTAAATGCTATAAAAGTTTTGGCTACAACATTTGAAAGAAAAAAAAAAAAAAAATCCATGAGAAAGACAAGACAAATACGTGATTGAAGACAGAGCTCTCTCAGGCACGAATCCGACCGTATCTTGTGTCCATTGGGGTTTAAAGGAGAGAGGTTACTGACCTGCAGCTGTTGGGTTAACATCTGGACCAATTTCCAATTAGATATGATTATAGTTTCACAGAAAAGTTGGATGTTTATGGTTTCTTTTTCTGTTTGTCTTGAGACTGTGCTGGACAGAGCCAGGCTAACAGTTTCCCCCTGGTTCTAGTCTTAATGCTAAGCTAAGCTAACCATGTTCTGGCTGTTGCCTCATCTTTCGTGGCGTGGATCTTCTCATCTAATCCCCAAAATGTCAAACTATTCCTGTGATATATGGTGATGCTCAGCTGAACTCTTCTTGTGTTTCTCTCTCCTCTCCAGTGTCGGCTCTGCGTCCAGCCTGTCAGCAGGTTTACAACCTGTTTCATCCAGCCGACCCCTCGGCCTCGAGGCTCGAGCCTCTCCTGGACAAGAGGTTCCACCTGCTGCCTCCCTTTAGTGTCCCCCGCTATCAGCGCTTTCCTCTGGGTGACGGACACTCCGCTCTCCTGGGTGAGCCGACACACACACACACACACACACACACATGCATCATACCGTTATTTCTGCACTACACACGGCTGAGTCTTTATCCTTTACAAGCTTTTATATCTCTTGTCTCTTTCTTCCTCCCTCCACGTGCTTTTCCCAGTTGAGACGGTGCAGAGTAACCCTCAGCTTCTGACGGAGTCCGGGGGTGCGGCGCTGCAACGCTGCCAGGAAAACACCGTCAATGAGACCTCCATCCCCGTGCCCGTCCTCAACTGGCCGACGTCGCAGCTCCCCGCAGAGAGTGAGCTTCTGTTCGGCTTTTCAGTCTCCATCTCTTTTGTCTCCCTCCTGTTTGTTTTTCTGATGCAACTTTTTGGCTTATTTTAAATTTACAACCTCAGTCTCATTTACATCTTTTTAATTAGGATATGGTGAAAAACGGGTGAAAAATAATCACATTAGAGATTATTGCTCCAGCGCTCTCCTCTTCTAAATCTAAACTGAAAACTTTCCTTTATAGCTGTCTGGTTTGCTCGTCTTAATTAACCATTTTATTTTATTGTTATTCCTCTATTGGTTTTACATATTTTATTATTTGATTATTTATTTAATCATATTTTATTCCTTCATTTCAACCGTTTTAATTTACATATCTTATTAATTTTCCTGATTGGTTGTTGGTCTTAATTATTTTCTTTTCTTAATGGTTTTTAATTCATACGTATCATTTATGTGTTTGTTTTCATTTGTGTCTAATGTTTTATCTTCACTCAATCCACATTCAAACTTCTGTGATAACTGCTTTGTGCAGCACATTGCTGGTATGTTGGCACAGTTAGTATTGTACTTCCCAAGTTGAAGGAATAGTTCAACATTTTAGGAAATATTCTCAACATAAAGACAGGAAACAGCTGGTCTGTCTCTGTCCCAAAGCACCAAACTCAATCATGCACCAACACCTCTAAAGATAAATCTCAGCAGGGGAATAAGTGTATTTCCAAAATGTCAGATGATTCCTTTAATTGCTGAGATCTAGGAACAAAGTAGTCTGACGGGAAACAAACAGTGTGGTGATCAAACAGGTTTTAGAAAAGAAAATTAAAAAGGAAGAAAAGAAATTTAAAAACTGTTTGTTGAATGAGAAGTTTGTTTCTCAGTCGACGTGCCGATAGCTCTGTCCTCAAACTGCTCCCTTTCAGTTTCACTTCTAAATAAAGTGGATGAGATAATCTGGATTAAAGGTTGCATCAAGTTAATATACAGTACATCTTGTTTCTGCTGCCCCCAAGTGGCTAAAAAATATCATCTACTGCAGGTTTAAATCACAGTTTCATTACTTTGCAGTAAGACTCGAACCCCTCTCCTCTGTCTCTGCAGCCGATGCTCTTCACTCGCACATTTTTGTCGACGGCCAGTTTCCATCGTCCACCTCGCCGGGGGTCCCTCACCTCCGCTTCACCCGCAGGGCCAGCGAGGCCAGCATAGCCAGCCAGGTGTCCGGCCTGGCCGACTCTTACACCGCCTCCAACATCGCCACGAGTAAGTCGACCCTCGGACCCCCTGTGTCTGAGCTAAGTTTTGGTCTCCAAGGTGACTATTTGTATGTTGACGTTGTCATTTCCTCCCTCCAAACATCCCCTCAGCACACAAAGTGAGCCACACTAAAAGGTCCAGTCTGCTGTCCCACCTGGCTCTGCCCTACAATAAGTTTGCCCCCCGGAGCCCGTCCCCTCGCTCGCGCAAGACAATCCGTCAGGTGTTCCCGAGACCCAACGGCGTGGAGTCTGAGCAGAGCTCGGACGTTAGCTCTGACATGACCTCCTCTGACATGACCTCTGACCTCACCGATGTCACGTCTGACATCACAGACATCAGCTCGGCGCCGCCGTCGCCCGGGGTGCTGAGGAACATAGAGCAAGGTACCCTGGGAGCTGTAGTGCGAGGACATGAGGGACGGACGCTAGGCTCCATCCTCATTCCCTGAGCTTTCTCCTTCCTCCTCTGGCGTAGTCCTCCTCCGTAGTCCTGTTTCCAGACATCACGTACGAGACCCGTGAACCTTCTTGGTCTGAGCCGTTGTTCTCCTGCGAGTGTGTGTTTTCAAACCTCTTTACAACTCATCGCTGCTCGTTTTTTTAGTGCCTCTTTATATCTTATAACTTCCTTCAGTTTATAATCCTCCTGAACGGTTCGTCTCTACACGAGCAGAGCGTAGATCTGCAGTGGAGAGAGACGGATCACGATCCCGGATGCACTGACTATAAACTCGCTCACAAGTCTCTCTTCTCTCCCGCTGCAGTTGCCTCTCGGTGGTGGGGCAGTAAGAGGATGGACTACGCCCTGTACTGTCCTGATGCCCTGACAGCGTTTCCAACAGTGGCCCTGCCTCATCTCTTCCACGCCTCCTACTGGGAGTCTACGGACGTCGTCTCCTTCCTGCTTAGACAGGTGCGTAGTGCGTTAATGTTCACAGCTGGATTAGTCAGCAGTCTATTGGTCTGTGGGTCGGTCCATCACTGTGGTCCAGTGCTGACATTGTGGTACAGACATTCACATCCATGGTGGCTGGAGAATTAATCCTAATGACTCTGGTGATTGTCTGACTTTCAGGTCGTCTATCGGGTCACAGTTTTTGATTTAAGGATTAGCCGCTGTACAGAACCTCAAACCTGCTTATAAAGTAAAAAAAATGTCCTGCGCTCTTTATTTATAAATCATTTTCCTTGTAGGTGATGAGACACGAGAACTCCAGTATTTTGGAGCTGGATGGTAAAGAAGTGTCTGAATTCACTCCATCCAAACCTCGTGAGAAGTGGCTCCGCAAGAGGACTCATGTTAAAATCAGAGTAAGATCTTCTCTCTCTCTCTCTTTTACATTTATAAGTGCGTCTCCTACAGAAAATGTTTCGGATCGAGAGAAAAAACACTTGTTATCCTGTTACACTTTTATCATTTGTCACATTATTAAACTGTTATAGTCTTGAACTGATCCAGATTTGGTTTCAGAAGTATCGTAGTACCAGATAGCAAAACGAAACTTGTGCTCCAACATGTACCTGGGTCCTCGGCCCGAGTCTGGCCCGTGTATACTTCCACATCTGGGCAGATTCTGGCTGTTATCCTCCGATACAGCTGGAAGATAGATTTTCAGTTTGTGCGCCAGAATTGGTCCAGATGTGGAAGCAGAATCTGACAATCATCCTGTAAATGGGCCAGATTTGGGCCGAGGATCCAGGTGTATAATGGGCCAGAAGAAAAACAAGCACGTGGCCCGAGTACGGGCCGGATTTATTCTGCTCGGTGGTTGTAAAAAAAAAAAATTAGATATTCAACTGCTGCATCTTTAATGCAAAACATGAAAACTGATTCTACTCTCAGAAGACAATCTCTTCGTTGCCTGAGAGGCAGAACTCAGGGCAAAAAAGACTGAATTATTTGTTACTGCTTGTAAAGCTTAAACAACGTATTAATATTTTGATCAACTTAGAGCGTCTCTCATCTGGATCTCAGCAGATGAACAGTAAAAAAAAAAAAAAACTCTTTAGAGAATAAATGAAATCAAAGTGTAAAAAATAGGAAAATGAGGTTCTGATTTCCTGTTTTCTCTCCTCTGTGTCAGAACGTGACGGCGAACCATCGTGTAAATGACGCCGTGTTCACGGAGGACGGGGCCCAGATGGTGACGGGACGTTTCATGTACGGCCCTCTGGACATGGTTACCCTCACTGGAGAGAAGGTATTAACACGTTCAGCTGTGACCCACCAAAAAAAAAAAAAAAAAGAGGTGTTATGTAACGGCGTCACCATCTGTGTCATTAAGGTCACTCAGCTGCAAAGTGTCGTGTTTAAAAGATCGTTGCGTGTGTGTGTGTGTGTGTGTGTGTTTTACTCACAGATTGACATTCACATCATGACCCAGCCGCCCTCTGGAGAGTGGGTGTACTTTGACACGGAGCTCACCAACAGCAGCGGACGTGTCTCTTACGTAATCCCTGAGAACAAAAAGCTGGGTATCGGGGTGTATCCTGTCAAAATGGTGGTCAGGTACGCCAAGTCACTGTTATTTCACACTTTAAAAACATTATAGTTGATGCAGAAAAGCATGAAGACGTGTGGTTCAGCGGTTGTTCAGACCAAACATGAAGAAGAAATGTGATCTGAGTGACGTTAGCATTAGCATTTTGTAGAGTCGTCAACGTGTCTTCTGGTGGCGACTGTGACAAAGAACAGAATCTTCTCAAGCTCCTCAAACACATTTGGCTTGTGGTGGAAGTGGGAGATTTGCAGCATGAATGCATTGGCAGCAAAATTATTTTCTAGCACCAGCATTTAATCCACCACACAAAGACTTCAGGCTGTTCTGGGATCTGGTGTTAAAAAGGTGAACATCTCCCTTCACAATAACTTTTCTTTTTCCGTCTTTCTCTCCTTTCCTCTGCTGTCTCTCCACCAGGGGTGACCACACATTTGCAGACAGCTATCTAACGATTTTACCACGGGGAACAGAGTTTGTCGTGTTCAGTATCGACGGGTCATTTGCTGCCAGTGTGTCAATCATGGGCAGCGACCCAAAGGTTCGAGCCGGAGCTGTGGACGTGGTGAGGTAAGGATCACACCCAGAACTCCCTGTAGGTCTGTTCTGCAATAATAATGAACAGTAGATACATAGCAGTTATCTAGATAACTTAGTTATACAGCAAACTGTATAAAAAGATGCTGCTAGTGTCTTTTAAAGTCACTACATGAAGACTTTTCTGACGGCGTAAGTGAGGAGTTCCTGAAGGAAGCGTTCTGGGCCCTGTTCTTTTTTCTTTATGTCTCCTGTGGACAATATTATCAGTATTTTTATATTTATTAATGAGCCTGCTCCTCTCATTTATAATCATTTGCAGGTACTGGCAGGACTTGGGCTACTTGATAGTGTACGTAACGGGTCGTCCTGACATGCAGAAGCAGCGTGTGGTGGCCTGGCTCTCTCAGCATAACTTCCCTCACGGCATCGTCTCCTTCTGCGACGGGCTGGTCCACGACCCGCTCCGACACAAGGCCAACTTCCTCAAATCCCTCATCAACGAGGTAAAGGGTGGGGGGCCGGTGTGTTTGCGTGCATGTGTGTGTATGTGTGTGTGTGAGGCAGTGATACAATGAAATCCCTCTCTGATCCAGGCCCACATGAGGATCTTTGCGGCCTACGGCTCCACCAAGGACATCTCCGTGTACACGTCGATTGGCCTGCCTCCGTTCCACATCTACATAGTGGGGAGACCCACAAAGAAAATGCAGCACCAGTGTCAGGTAAGGAGAAAATCCTTTTAGCAAAGCTGCCTCATAATATCTCACAGATCATATTCATGTGCTCATATTTACTGACAGACAGTGAAAGCACATTGTTGTTTTTGTGAAGTCGGTGAGGTGAAGCGATGGTCATGAATATGGAAGTTAGTTCCTCATTTACAACAACAACATTTTAACCATCTGCTTGTTGAGACAGACCTAACCTTGTGTAAACGTCTTTTTAATTTGGTACTTAACACTGTTGGATAGCCAATCAGAGTGAGACATCGCTAACGCAAAACATCTGTGACTTATTGATCCCTCTGAAAAACAAAAACATCTGGAGAACTTCAGATAAGGAACGAGCAGAACAGCTGGACGTTACAGATGGAGCGAACTCCCAAACATGCTTTACAAACATTTAGAGGCCGTGCCACGAATAGTTTTTCACTGACGTTTTTCGAGTATTTTGAAACGATTCTCAAGAGCAAAGATGACACTCTAACAGATCAGTGAAACTGGACTCTGAAAAGAGGAGTTACAGAGAACAGGGACAGACTGAGAACCAGTTTGGAGGTCTGTGATATTTTCAGTCAGTGGTAGAGGAAGTATTCAGATCCTTTACTTAAGTAAAAGTATCAATACCTCGATGTAAAAATACTGCATTCAAAATCCCACTTAAGTAAAAGTTCAGAAGTACTATCAGCAAAATGTTATATATGATATATTATCATAAATGTCATTATTAGATTGTTAATACTGATGCATCCATGCTGGTTTTAAATACTATATACAGTTGGTTTTTAGGACAGAGGTTCCCAACCGAGGGGTCGGGCCCTTCTAAAGGGTCACATGATAAATCTGAGGGGTCGTGAGATGATCCGTGGGAAAGGAGAGAAGTTTTTGTGAAACACCTGATAATTTTACCTTCAGTTTAGATGGGAAATGTCTCTTTGGTGCTGACAGCTCATAAACATCTGAAACGTGACAAGAGGCTTCGACTAGATGCTTGTGTAAGGAGTCACAAAAATAAAATATGTAAATATATTATAATACATTACTTGTGTAAATGTACTTTTTTTTATTATATTCCACTGTTTTCTCAAAGACATGGAAGGTTTTTATTATTATTGTGTGTATTGAGGATTTTTAAACTGTCCATAAGGGATTATCAAACCAAACCTGATTGATCATATATTTATAAAGAGATCAAAACTCCAGCAACAGTAAACAGGAACTTTATTAGACTGACGCGTCCTTCATCTGGTCTGAAGGCCACAAGCCCAAACGCATCGGTCTAATAAAGTTCCTCTGTTCACTGCAGATGTTTCTGGAGTTTTGACCTCTTTTGGAAGCAGGTGAAGTTCTGCCAGAAACCTTTCTTTGTTCCCTGATCATATATTTCTTCCAGTTCATCTCGGACGGCTACGCCTCCCACCTGTCCCAGCTGGAGTACAACCAGAGGACTCGTCCTGCCAAGTCCGCCAGCGCCCGCATGGTCCTCCGTAAAGGCAGCTTCGGCCTGGGCGCAGCCGGAGGAGAGTTCCTTCGTAAGCGCAACCACATCTTTCGCACCATCTCCTCTAAGCAGCCCGGCGGAGCGGGGTCAGCCTCCCCCAACCAGCCGGGCCGGACTGAGCGTACGCTGAGCCAGTGCGAGATGGAGCGGGAACGAGGGGTCGCGGGAGCAACGCAGAGGAGCATGAGTATAGCTGCAGGGTGCTGGGGCCGCAGCGGGAGCACCAAGGAGGGCAGTGGAGGGTTACTGGGCCCTAAATAGTTCAAAAAGGAGCTAAAGGACCCGGCCTGAACCACCATGATCTCTGGACTAGACAAAGAGAGGAAGTGGAAGGAGGGTTTGTATTTTAGAATAAGAGACAGGTGATTGATTTAGCATAAACAACACATTGATTGGAACAGGGGAGAACAGGGGGAGGAGGGATAAAGAGGGATCTGTCCAGGAGGAGTGGACCAATCAGGCCAAGAGGGATCCAGCGAACAAAAGACAGTTGTGTAGCATGACTCTTTTACAGTAATACTTTTATAGGAAACATCACTAACCACTGAAAAAATTGACAAGGAAGGATTAAGTGAAATATTGTAAGCCTTAAACTAATCTCGTATAACGGGACTCTAAATGTACTCCCCTTTTCTCAACACACACACACATATACACACATATACACACATATACAATACGCTGTCCAAGCATTCACACTCATGAGCTCAGGACAAACCGCAGAGCCAGACTCATCTTCATCTTCACACAGTCAAGCACGGGTTTCAGGCCGCGTTGGTTTGGCAGCCATGGCGAAAAAAAACAAAAAAACAATGACTTTCACCTCTGTTTCCGTCCCACTGTCAGCTGAGCGACGCGTCTCACACACTCTCCCCCCCAGCAGTGACTGGCAATAAGTACGTGAAGAAAACCCTCACAATGCAAAAAGAGGAAAAGACGAACCACGGAGGAAGGAAGGAAGAACTTTTGGAAATGAAGATTAAAATCTTAAAGAGTCAGGTTTTCCAAATTATAAAAATATATATGTTCTCTTTTACCTGTCGTGGTGTTTAGTCAAACAGACAGCTTCGGTTTTATTCATCCAGAGCGTGAGATGTCTGTCTGCCTCAAGCCCAGTACAATAGAGGAGAATGGGACTGTCAGTGGAACTATTTTCTACTAAAAACGTTAAGTTTTAAGTCACTTATTATCACCGTATTAATTATGATGATGTAAACTGAGTGCTGCCTCTCTTTTAGCTCTGTGTTTGGTCTCCACCGGCTCCTGAAGAGAATATCTGACTCTGTAGCTGCTAAATGCTCCGCTATGTTCACCAGCTGCTTTCTGACTGTTTTACAGATGTTTCTCTGAAAACAGCTGCTGCTCTGTATGAAGCAATACAGTTCAACAGCAGCACAAACCACATCCTCCACAATGATCATACAGGTGAATCAGCACCTCTGTAAAACTGAACACACTGAACGTTGTAGCCTTCATGGAGGAGGATTTATTGCAGCGTTAGTTTAGGTGTTCCTAATAAACTGCCAAATTAGTCCCTTAATATTTTCAATTTCGAGCTCCGTTCACCTCTGTTGTATTGGGGTGGAAGCAGAGACAGATATCTCAGAACCTGGGCACATAAAAACAAAAAGTGAAGATGTAGCCAGATGCCACAACAGGTAAAAGATAAAATATGTATTTATTTTAGAATTTGGGTGAACTGGTCCTTTTAAATATGAGAGAGCTGTGTTTGAAATCTTGAAATATATTGTATCAGAGAGGAAAGTACTTCTTGTCTTAGCCAGAGAACTGTCGAGTTCATCAATGATGTGCTACTTATACTTACGTCCAACTGCTCCAGTTTTCATTCCACCGTATGTGAGACTCTGTAGTGTTTATTTCAGTGTGGCCTCTGGGCCGTCCAAGGCCTTAATATCCAACCAGACACTTACTCCACAGATGGACCAGGAAGCAGGAAAACAGGGCATGCAGCATTAAAGCAACAACTGAAACTCTGTACAGTCCACAGCAACAATCCCTTTATATATTCATCTGCTTGCAATACCTCTGATCCGCCTGTTGGTGGAGTTCTGTTTCCCACATGTGCTGCTGCTGGTAGACACTCCTGTGGTGTTCCCCGGCTTTTTGCTCTTTTCTGCTCGTGTGATATCGAACAGGATGGACCCGGATGTTTCTGCCGAGGAGCCTGTTTCATTTCAGGCTGGACACTCGGTGGTGGTGGTGGTGGTGGGGGGTGTGGAGGCGGGAGTCCCACTTACACTGACCTGTGAGTCCAGATGGACCGAAGAATGGGGCCGGAAGTGATTCAGCATGAATGTTGTAAAGGCTGGATTGATCCTTTTCAGTGGTGAATGTGTAGGTGGGGAGAAAATCGTTGGTGTCCTCAAACATCATTTTGTTGTGTCTGTCTGCTGAACTGTATATTTTCATTCAAAGGGGACGTAGAAGAAGAAGAAGAAGAAGAAGAAGAAGAAGAAGCCGCCTCACATCTTCACTCCAAAAACACAAACAATGTGCATAAAAGAATCTGATTTTCCACCCAGGCCACCCTCGCTCAGTAAAGGAGAGGTTTGTCAAGCCTGTCTTAAAACAGACAGGTGCACAAATGTACATTCAAACAGGTTTTGCTTCTTGTAATGATTCTTAATGGGGGACAAAATCCACAGTCCTTGGTCTGTGCAATATGTTTTCAGTGCATTGGAAACTTTACATGAAACTACTATAAAGATTAAGCAAATCAAGTGCATATCTCCCAAAGTGTCAGTGGGGGGGGCAAAGAGGGATTTTCTCACTAAAAATGTCCTCACCTTATTCAAGATATACACCTGGTTTTTCTAAATCAGACTGTTAAGGGTGGAAATCTTCGGGAACCTCACTATTTCATTTAGATTTGAATCCAATTCTTCGGGGTCGTGATTCAATTAAGAAATTATTCTCAATTCAAAATCGTGTCTGGATGATGGCGTAGACCTATAAAGTTTTGACAAGTACTTTAATTAAATCCAAAATGTGTAAAGTGTGATTGTTTTGGAAACTGCAAATTAATTCAAAACTGTTTTTTTCTCCCACCCCTGCAGATGGCTGAGGCCTCACATTAGCTTCAGATGAACGTTTGAATATATTTTTGCACAGAAAGTGTATTTTGTCCCGTATCACTTACACTGGAAACACTTGAGGAAAAGATCACAGCCGGTAGAAAGAGCAGGGGTGATTACAGCCTGTGTCAGTGTTCAAACAGACACTTGACCAATGTTTTAAGACAGACTTTGTGGACCTATTCTTTAAACCCATGAAAGCTGTTAGAGTAAGTTGTACCTCCTGTTCATTTCATTTTTTACTATGCTGTTGTTTTATGCCTCGCTTCCACACTGCACAGGAGCGTGTCTGTTTCCAGTCCCTGTGTGATGATAATGTCTTCAACCCACCACAGAAGCCAAAATCATTCTCTTGATACTGTAGTTTAATCAACTGTGTAACCTCATTGTTGTTTTTTGCACTAGTTTACAGTGGAAATAGACTGTAGTTACCATCTCATGTTGCTACGTTTGAACACCTTTGTAGTGCATGACACTTTTTATTTATTTCAGGGTATACTGTATGTGCAGGTGCACATGTCTGTACATTTTGTCAGGATATGAAAATAATGCAAGTAAATGTGCCAAACATGAAGTATTTTGATTAGGGGTTTTCAAAGTCTGACACTGAGACAACTGCGCCCTCCAAGACCCTCCCCTGTCCTCCAATTGTCCTTTTATTACTGTTTATCTTACTTCTAATTAGTAGATAAATAGGCTCCATGTTTTGAAACTACAGTTCCCATAATGCTTTGGGGATGTAACCTGTGAGTGTAATCGGGTGGTCATGGGGTCAGTGAGCTTTGTTATGTCAAGATAACGGACTATTTACCCAGTTTTTCGGGAAAACAAAGCTCCGTTATCCGTTATTTCGAGATAACGAAATAATTATCCGTTACCCGGATTTAACGCGATAAAAAAAAATATTTGCGAGTGTGGCCTTTCTCGGCTTCCGTAGTACATTGTGGGCGGCAACTTTAGCCCTGTTTTTAAGCTAAGCGTTGTCTTCATTTTGGCAAGTTGACACAATTAAAGCTATGTCGAATTAGCGATTAGCAGTTACTGTTTGCAGTGTGTCCGTGACTGTATAGACAACTTACAGTTTATTACTTTAATACTGTAGAAAAGTTAGAAACGCGATGATTCTCAGGCAAGTTCCGGAGTTTTAAGGAGCGACCATTTCCCCCCTTTTTATAAGTGGATGTTTGGACGTTTATTCGATCATGGGCGTCGAAGATAATGACATCCACAGAAACTGTAAGTCACAATGAATCTAGAAATGTCTGTATTATGTCTGTGTGTGCAGATTTGACTGAGTTATGACTCCGAGAAGGAGTATGATTTTTAATGCTAATGGCGGCTATCGCAGCTAAAGCTAAAGTACCTTAATTGCACTTGACCACGTTGGTAAACGGGCCAAACCACAAAGACTAAATCCCCATTGTTTTTAGAAAGCCATCATCTCTTTCGACACAGTATCTTTGTCTCATGTCTGTTTGAAAACCCCTTCATTTAGACTATTCAAGCTTTTACTCTAGGAAGAAGGGGACATGTAAATGTATATTCGGGCTTTAGGTGACTACATCTTTACAAATCTGATGTTGTCCATGTCTGAGAAAGAGAAGAAAAACGGCTTTAACAGAAAAATGAATCTGTTTTTAAAGCTTTTCCTTGAGGGCAGAGGTCGAGTGAGTTTCCGTAATCATGGACAATAAGCTGTTTTGCAAATGGACCTTTGCATTGAGTTTCTGTTGTGCTGTGGGTGGCAGGCTTTTGGATACAAACACATTGTTCCCCTTTGGCCTTTTGGCTGCTGAGTTGAATGTTTCCACCATTTGGATCCTGAGTCTGTTCAGGAACCATGGATATGTCAGTGTACATAATGTAAAGATGTATATGTAGGACCTTATATGGTTGAGAGTTATTTATTTACCTAAAGCTCATGATGTTATTATGGAAATTTCAGGTGAAATATATTTGAAATATGTAGCATTTTTATTTTGGCGGTCATTAAGGCTATGGACCAACACGGGAAGGTTTTTGTTTTTACCAGTGCAATATTATTGTTCCTATCACAGCCAGGCAAAATAAACCACTGTCACAGCAGGGGCACAATCTACACCAATACAAGCTACAGGCAATTCACAGTCTGAGATCACACACACCACCTGCAGTTGTGTTTCACACCTAGTGAAAACTATTTGTATTCGAGCTGCTGTTGTTGACTTCTGCTGTCTCTTTACAACAATCGCTGAGCGTTTTATAGGACTTACTGTACCTATTTTTCAAACCGGAGTATTTTACAGAACCTTTGAAATATAACTCGAGACTGGTTTTTCAGTCAGCAGCGGGTGCATGATAAAAAGTTAAAACCCCATAATGAAGCAGCTCTATTTAACAAGCTGTTGCATGTCATCCAATCAGATTGGAACTACTTACTTAACTACTGCTTAACAATAATAAACCAGTTATGTTGTCCACTACGTCCTCACTGTTTGATGACATATATATATATATATATATATATTTAAAAAATTCAGCTGGTTATATTTGAGATTATTGAAATTATTGCCACTTTTGGATAAAATGTAATAGAGACCTACATGTTTATCTGCAGTACACAGTCCAGTATTAGTTTTAATTATTGACATTTTACAATAAAACATTTTGGTATCACTTTATAGCAAGGTGCCATTTATGAAAGGTTTATTAATGATTAAAGCAATAGGTTGACATCATAGCGGAGAGTTAGATGAAAAGATCAATACCCTTCTCATATCTTTCCATTCAATATGAGCTACAAGGAACATCTCTTTAGCTTAGCTTAGCATAGTATTAAGACTGGAAACAACTAGCCTGTGCCCCCGGTAACAGGCCCCACATAACCCACCATATAATGTCTAATTTTGGTTTTTGTACAGATTGAAATGAGACATAACATGTTAATTAGGCAAATTTAGTTTCTTTGGTCAGAGCCCTGTTTCCACCATTGACACTAAAATAAGCGAATCTGCTGCTGACTGTATATTTAATGAACAAATATGAGAGTGGTATTAATCAATGTTTGGGTTGCCAGGTTGTGAAAAATCTCTTTGACTGATTAGACCATTTTGACCACTGACATTACATCCTACTAACATTTATAACTGCAGACTTGATGATTAATTATTTACTTTATTATTTGATAAAAATGTCATCTCTAAAATCTTAAAATCAAAATAAATATAATTATTTGAAAGCTTATTTAAATAAGTGAGAAACCCATGAACATTTACTAATGGGTTACCAACATTTATGACAGTATTATAACCAAATATTAAGGTTAAACTGCAGCCAAAGGTATTTTTCACAACCTGGCAACCTGAAAGTTGTCGTTATTGATGGGTTTTACTGTAGTATTATTTGAAATTATATTAGTAAATTGTTTATTAACCATTAATAAACCAATCACAACCTTTAGCCTTTAAAAAGGATGCCTTATTATAAAGTTGCACCAACATTTAATGTGAGTTATCATTAATTAGAGGTTGTTAATTATCCCACAGCAGCAGGAAGATCAGTCATATTTTGTACATACACAACTGTAATAAAGCATCACAAATACTATAGAGCAGTAGGTCTGTGACAAATATTAAGGTGTTAAAATATATGGTGGCAATAATTCATATATATTTTGGATATATGCAGTGTTTGAAATTAGATTCACATGCTCAAATTTAAAAGTACTATAGTAATACTTTATTTTAATCTCCTTATTTAGCATTTATAAGCAGTATATCGACACTTAATAAATGTTTTTTTAACACACTATAACACTATAATGTAGTAATACGCAATTATAAGGCCACTTTTTTAATGTATTAATATGTAACTTCCTGCAGTATGAAGCATCTATAATTAGATAATTAACAGTTAATACTTATTACCATAGCATAACATAGATACAATCGTATGTCTATTGAAACAAATTTAAAAAACCTTTAAAAATCTGCCTGTGAATTTTTAAACATGTATAAACAGTTGTTAAATGCTTAAAAAGGATTTTTTCACATATAGTTGCAGCTTTTATGTTATGTAATTTATTCTTCAAAGCATTAATTTACTGTTTATACACCAGTTATGGCGGCATCAGGCTGAGTTTGATAAAGATATTAAATACTCATTTAAGTTCTTATAATTGCACATGAAACATTAGAGTTTATTAAGTGTTTGTATACTGCTTATTCATACTAAACAGGGGGTAGTGTATACAGATGGTCATGACCCATTTCTACATGTTAACAGTGTTACCCTTCTATCCATGGCATTGATAAACACTGATCAAAACACTGTGTATTCAATCAACGACAGCAGAGTCAGAATAACTTCTCTGAGTGATTGTGACTCATGTTGTTGTTTTCAGACATAGGATACAGTAGTTACTGATGTCTCCTAGTTCACACCGTATATGTCAGAAGTTTGACCTCTGACCCCGGCGCTCTCTACCATTGTCTGTACTGTGGAATAAAACCAATTGGACGGTAACTCGACATGAGTATGTGTGTTTTTATTGGATTTTTAGTAGATGTTGGTCGTCCAGAGTCTTGAAATTTTCTACAGACGTTCATGTTCCCCAGAGGATGAATGCTACCAACTGTAGTGATCCTCTGATTTTTTCCCCTTAGCGCCACCTGCTGGTTTACATTAGTGTTTTTTTTTTTGGGAAGCATCTCAACAATTATTGGATGGATTGCATGAAATTTGGTACAAAGATTCATGTTCCCCATAGGATGAATTGTAATAACTTTGGTGATGCAGTCATTATTCCTCTAGTGCCAACATCAGGTTGGAATTTTAATTTGTTTATGACCAAATACCTGAAAAACTGTGTTTATTGTCAATTAGCAAATGTTAGCCATAGCTGTGCTGAAGCATGTACGGTGGTTAGCCTGTTGTAAGATCAGCATCACACAAATTTGTAATTTTATTTGTGCTGATATTCCTCTTGAATACAAATATATGGATACATCTTGAATACTGTGCAAATTCTTTTCGCATTTTAGACACTAAAAGAAAAGTGAGGGCTCCTATAAAAAAAATAAAATAATGCAATAAATAGTTTTTATTTTGCAGTAAACAGATAAAACTTCCCAGCACCTGTAAAGCTCACTGATCAACACGTTTTGTCTTGTTTTAAAAACAGCTGTTTCGGTTTGCTTCAGTTAGCTACTTCTGGTGCGTCTTATCCATTTGCATTTCTTTGGCATAATTTTTTATCAAGTCATACTTGTTTTTATCTCTTTGTAGTTTTTTGCATCTCTTAAGTAGTTTTGTGACTCTTTGTGCATGTTTTTCATTTCTTTGTAGTTATTTGATTGACTTTCCGACAAGAAATACAAACAGACTCCATGGGCCCCAGGGCCTATGCCTGGTGGGCCTGTTCTGTAATCCATCCATATGTTTAGTAATCTATTTTGACTCCTCTGGTAACTAGTCTTCATGCTCTCAGTCTCTCAGCACTAAAATGCTGTCGATGCTGAATCATGTCGTAGCTGCAGGGTTACTGCTTAATCAGTATCACACATATTTGTAATCTTATTCGTGTTGACATTCCTCTTATAAATAAGTGGCTGTATCTTGTGTATATATATGTTTTATTAGATAGTAAATTATTCATTAGATTATTAGATCTACTTTCACAATATTTCCAGATACCCTTTGGCAATTTTATAAGTACTCGCTGGGGTACATTAACTACTAAAATTACTGAGCTTATTTTAAAATCTGAAACTATATATTTATGAGATATTTTTAATTATTTATGTCTTAAGTAAGAAACAAGTTTAGGCTGGGTGCCACAGATGAGGAAGGGAAGTTGGAAACTGTTAGGAGACAAACTAACACGTTGGTTTTGCTCTTTTTTTTCATGGGATTTGTTAACAATAATAAAAAATGTAGAATAACACCAGTTTTATCCAATAAGTCTTTCGACAAAGGCACAAACGATTGTCACCACTTTTCTGCAAATTATTGAACAATAACAAGTGAACTTTCCCCAGAAGTTTAAAGAAATACTAAATTAATTAATTCAGAATCTGAACACTGTATGAACTTTAAACATTAAATGTCTGGTAGCAGTTTACTTCTACTTATCTATTTAGCATTCATAGGTAAAATATAAACTGTTTATGAATGGTTTATATCACACTAATGTAGTTGTTAGCAGATCCAACTCCCTAAGTGGAGGCTGCTGTATGTACAGATAATGAATGAAAACATGATAAAACAGTTAAAATAATAAACAAAATTTTCATAGGAGAGGTTATAATTGCTGACAGATAATGTTCATAAATAAAAATGTCCTTACAACTGTTATAAATGCTAAACTGGGAGACAACTGTCACACAGCACCTGCCTGCTGTAACAGCTCAAGGCTTCTATCATAATTTAAACATTTAAAAAGATTGAGATTTTAAGGAATAAATAAAAAGAAGTACAGCAACAACAAGTAGCATTTCTTTATTATGGCAAATGAAAAAAACACTTTGTGTAAATGTTGTCTGGAAATCATCTGCTTTGTCTTTGATTATAGTGCCCTCATCAGGTCAGTTAATGTAATGTACGATTATTTTTGTGTCTTAGGCTTTCTCTCAGTCAAACCTATATTACATACAGTATCAACACAAACACACAGTGGCTCATTTTACACACAAACTCAGCTCATGCTCTGTTCGCCCCTGAGCTGAGACAAGGGGACAAACGGGAAGAGAATCCTCCAGATATTGCACAAAATGGCAACAGCTGTTTATAAAATTGGCCGTGGTGAGGATAAGCTATGATTGAATCTATAAAAGTTCATTTAAAACAAATAATTATTTGCCTTTTTTTTTTTTTGTTGTTGTTGTTTAAATGAAGCACTTGTGACTTAGCGCACATACAGAAAGCTTGTAAATACACTTCACAGGAGAATGGAGAGCATCAACGGTCTGCTCTTTGGTTTTACAGGTGGACGGATGGATGATGGGAAGCGATGGCAGCCTGTACAGCAAAAAGAGGTCGAGGGAGCAAACCAAACACACAGAGACAGTAAGTCATAAAACCACAGCTGAGCTCCTCGGCGACAGGCCTTCACCTTTCTCGGGACAAGTCAATATTACAGTGAAACATCACGTATTTTATGGGCGTCTAAAGTGCACGAGGCCTCTTAGGGGTAATTTGTTTGCTAGCTTGCTCCTCTTCTTGGAGTGTACAGCGGAAGGACTTGACTTTATCTGAAACACAAGAGGAAATCACAGCACAGGCTGCAATGACTGAAACATCAAGAAAGAAATACTGTGTTTACAATCTCTAAAGATGCTTTCAGACTTACACGACACTGCTGGCTTCATCGCTCTGATACATAAATGTTAGAGATCACTGTCATGATTTTTATATAAAAGTGACCAGGAGACTTTTTCAGATTCAGAAAATTTCAGGATTTGATTCGATTTCGATTTTTGGGCTCAATTCGATTCCTGATTAAAAAACAATAGTAATAGATTATATAGTAGCAATGTGGTGCTGTATAATTCAAATATGATGCTCAGAGGTGTAGTGCTATTTGTGTAAGGTTGAGTAAAGTTGCGGCTCGTTATTAAGGTTACGTAACCACTGTTCTTATGGTGACAAGTGAACATCCATTAGTCATCTATGATCACATGATCAGATGTTAGACTGACTGCATGAACAGTTTCATCATGTTGAGAACATGGGCTCAGTAATATTCGAGGATACTATGGATATAGCAGGTTGTGATTAGCGTAGCATTAAGCTGCAGGTGAATGAACACAAGTAGTTTGTGTTTTGAATGATTTCATTTACTTAGTTACAAATGAAGTCACATTTAAGGTGGTTAATGTTTTCTTGCATGTTACTCAATGCATGATTGACATTTGGAAACCAATCAATACACCTTCAAGGTTATAAAATCTGAAATGTGTTGAATTAGGTGGAGCAGGTTGAATAACTTTTTCCTATGTTTATTTTCCATCATTCACACTGCACTTTCTTATTGCAGGAGTATCATCTGAATGGAAACCGACACGGCGTCATCTATAGGGCTGGCGAGCTAATGTTAGGAAAAAATGTAAACCAGTGCTGTCACAAGGCTGAAAAATATTAATCGATGTTTTTGGAATTTATTAATTGATTTTGAATTTGTAGAGATAGGATTGCGACTGTAATGTGAATCGATTCATTTATTTTTGCACACCTCTAACTGAGATCAGATCAGTTTAAAGTCTAAAAGCGTCTTAACGTCTGGTGACTGGACAGATGACTTTACCTCTCAGCTCAGTGAGAATGTCAATCTTCTGGTCCAGGATTTGTTCTAGTTGAGTTGCATATGACTCGACGTCATAGTCCACCTCCTCCGTCATTTCCAGGAGCACCTTCTCATCTTCCAGCCAGCGGATCGACTCCTGTGAGAGAGGGATGCAGTTCAGCACCAAACTTTAAAACTGCAGACATCAAACTGATGAAGAGAGCTGAGTGCTCTAACTTTGATGTACTGAGAAGATGTTGAAAAATATGACTTTGCCATTTTTTGACATTTTTGTGCCTCATTATATTATTAAGTTTTATGCCTGACTATACTGTGACATTTTTATGCCTTACGATACTATGGTGTCTGTATACCTTAGTATACTATGTCACTTTTTTTAATGTTTTTTGCCATACTAGACTGTAGTTTTTTTCACTTTATAGCCTTAATATACCTATACTATGATGTCTTCTGATGTTTTTATGCCCTATTATACTATTTCATTTTTTCACTTTTTTTGCCATACTATACTGTTGTTTTTTCACTTTTAAGGCCTTAATATACCTATACTATAATGTCTTCTGATGTTTTTATTCCCTATTATACTATGTCGTTTTTTCACCTTTAGGGCCTTAATATACTGTGATGTCTTTATACCTTACTATACTAGAACGTTTTTAGATGTTTTTATGCCTTTATATGCTATTTCATTTTTTGATGTATTTTCAGTTTTTTGCCATAGTATAGTATGTTGTTTTTTCACTTTTAGGGCCTTAGTATACTATGATGTCTTCATACCTTACTATAGTAGAACGTTTTTAGATGTTTTTATGCCTTAATATGCTATTTAATTTTTTCACTTTTTTTGCCATACTGTAGTATGTAGTTTTTTTCACCTTTATGGCCTTAATATACCTATACTATGACATCTTCTGATGTTTTTATGCCCTATTATACTATGTTGTTTTTTCACCTTTTCTGACATTTTTATCCATACTATACTATGTCATTTTTTCACTTTTTTTGCCATACAATACTATGTCGTTTTTTCACCTTTAGGGCCTTAATATACTATGATGTCTTTATACCTTACTATACAATGATGTTTTTTGATGTTTTTATGCCTTAATATACTGTTCCATTTTTTCACTTTTTTCTGTGTTTTTTGCCATACTATACTATGTAATTTTTTTCACCTTTAGGGCCTTAATATACTATGATGTCTTTATGCCTTAATATGCTATTTAATTTTTTCACTTTTTTTGCCATACTGTAGTATGTAGTTTTTTTTTCACTTTTAAGGCCTTAATATACCTATACTATGACGTCTTCTGATGTTTTTATGCCCTATTATACTATGTTGTTTTTTCACTTTTTTCTGTGTTTTTTGCCATACTATACTATGTCATTTTTTCACTTTTTTTTCCATACTATACTATGTTGTTTTTTTTCACTTTAGGGCCTTAATATACTATGATCTCTTTATACCTTACTATACTAGGATGTTTTTATGCCTTAATATACTATTCCATTTTTTCACTTTTTTCTGTGTTTTTTGCCATACTATTACTATGCTCGTTTTTCTCACTTTTTTTTTGCCTAGCATAGTATGTTGTTTTTTTCACTTTAGGGCCTTAATATACTTATTGATCTCTTTATACCTTACTATACTAGGATGTTTTTTTGATGTTTTTATGCCTTAAATTACTATGATCTCCTTATACCTTACTATGCTAGGATGTTTTTTGATGTTTTTATGCCTTAATATTGCTATTTAATTTTTTCACTTTTTTTGCCATACTGTAGTATGTAGTTTTTTTTTTTTACTTTAAGGGCCTTAATATACCTATACTATGACGTCTTCTGATGTTTTTATGCCCTATTATACTATGTTGTTTTTTCACCTTTTCTTGAATTTTTATCCATACTATACTATGTCGTTTTTCACTTTTTTTGCCATAGCATAGTTATGTTGTTTTTTTTCACTTTAGGGCCTTATATACTATGATCTCTTTATACCTTACTATACTAGGATGTTTTTTTTGATGTTTTTATGCCTTAATATACGATTCCATTTTTTCACCTTTTTCTGTGTTTTTGCCATACTATACTATGTCGTTTTTTCCACTTTAGGGCCTTAATATACTATGACTCTTATACCTTACTATACTAGGATGTTTTTTGATGTTTTATGCCTTAATATACGATTCCATTTTTTCACTTTTTTTCTGTGTTTTTTGCCATACTTATACTATGTCGTTTTTTCACTTTTTTTGCCATAGTATAGTGGTGTTGTTTTTTTCACTTTAGGGCCTTAATATACTATGATCTCTTTATACCTTACTATACTAGGATGTTTTTTTGATGTTTTTATGCCTTAATATGCTATTTAATTTTTTCACTTTTTTCTGTGTTTTTTGCCATACTATACTATGTCGTTTTTTTCACTTTTTTTGCCATAGCATAGTATGTTGTTTTTTTCACTTTAGGGCCTTAATATACTATGATCTCTTTATACCTTACTATACTAGGATGTTTTTTTGATGTTTTTATGCCTTAATATACGATTCCATTTTTTCACTTTTTTCTGTGTTTTTTGCCATACTATACTATGTCGTTTTTTCACTTTTTTTTGCCATAGCATAGTATGTTGTTTTTTTCACTTTAGGGCCTTAATATACTATGATCTCTTTATACCTTACTATACTAGGATGTTTTTTTGATGTTTTTATGCCTTAATATACTATGATCTCCTTATACCTTACTATGCTAGGATGTTTTTTGATGTTTTTATGCCTTAATATGCTATTTAATTTTTTCACTTTTTTTGCCATACTGTAGTATGTAGTTTTTTTTTTTTACTTTTAAGGCCTTAATATACCTATACTATGACGTCTTCTGATGTTTTTATGCCCTATTATACTATGTTGTTTTTTCACCTTTTCTGACATTTTTATCCATACTATACTATGTCGTTTTTTCACTTTTTTTGCCATAGCATAGTATGTTGTTTTTTTCACTTTAGGGCCTTAATATACTATGATCTCTTTATACCTTACTATACTAGGATGTTTTTTTGATGTTTTTATGCCTTAATATACGATTCCATTTTTTCACTTTTTTCTGTGTTTTTTGCCATACTATACTATGTCGTTTTTTCACTTTTTTGCCATAGTATAGTGTGTTGTTTTTTTCACTTTGGGGCCTTAATATACTATGATCTCCTTATACCTTACTATGCTAGGATGTTTTTTGATGTTTTTATGCCTTAATATGCTATTTAATTTTTTCACTTTTTTTTGCCATACTATACTATGTCGTTTTTTCACTATTTTTGCCATACTGTAGTATGTAGTTTTTTTTTACTTTTAAGGCCTTAATATACCTATACTATGACGTCTTCTGATGTTTTTATGCCCTATTATACTATGTTGTTTTTTCACTTTTTTCTGTGTTTTTTGCCATACTATACTGTGTCATTTTTTCACTTTTTTTTCCATACCATACTATGTTGTTTTTTTTCACTTTAGGGCCTTAATATACTATGATCTCTTTATACCTTACTATACTAGGATGTTTTTTTGATGTTTTTATGCCTTAATATACGATTCCATTTTTTCACTTTTTTCTGTGTTTTTTGCCATACTATACTATGTCGTTTTTTCACTTTTTTGCCATAGTATAGTGTGTTGTTTTTTTCACTTTGGGGCCTTAATATACTATGATCTCCTTATACCTTACTATGCTAGGATGTTTTTTGATGTTTTTATGCCTTAATATGCTATTTAATTTTTTCACTTTTTTCTGTGTTTTTTGCCATACTATACTATGTCGTTTTTTCACTTTTTTGCCATATTATAGTGTGTTGTTTTTTTCACTTTAGGGCCTTAATATACTATGATCTCTTTATACCTTACTATACTAGGATGTTTTTTTGATGTTTTTATGCCTTAATATACTATTCCATTTTTTCACTTTTTTCTGTGTTTTTTGCCATACTATACTATGTCGTTTTTTCACTTTTTTTGCCATAGTATAGTGTGTTGTTTTTTTCACTTTAGGGCCTTAATATACTATGATCTCTTTATACCTTACTATACTAGGATGTTTTTTTGATGTTTTTATGCCTTAATATACTATTCCATTTTTTCACTTTTTTCTGTGTTTTTTGCCATACTATACTATGTCGTTTTTTCACTTTTTTTCCATAGTATAGTGTGTTGTTTTTTTCACTTTAGGGCCTTAATATACTATGATCTCTTTATACCTTACTATACTAGGATGTTTTTTTGATGTTTTTATGCCTTAATATACTATTCCATTTTTTCACTTTTTTCTGTGTTTTTTGCCATACTATACTATGTCGTTTTTTCACTTTTTTTGCCATAGTATAGTGTGTTGTTTTTTTCACTTTAGGGCCTTAATATACTATGATCTCTTTATACCTTACTATACTAGGATGTTTTTTTGATGTTTTTATGCCTTAATATACTATTCCATTTTTTCACTTTTTTCTGTGTTTTTTGCCATACTATACTATGTCGTTTTTTCACTTTTTTTGCCATAGTATAGTGTGTTGTTTTTTTCACTTTAGGGCCTTAATATACTATGATCTCTTTATACCTTACTATACTAGGATGTTTTTTTGATGTTTTTATGCCTTAATATACTATTCCATTTTTTCACTTTTTTCTGTGTTTTTTGCCATACTATACTATGTCGTTTTTTCACTTTTTTTGCCATAGTATAGTGTGTTGTTTTTTTCACTTTAGGGCCTTAATATACTATGATCTCTTTATACCTTACTATACTAGGATGTTTTTTTGATGTTTTTATGCCTTAATATACTATTCCATTTTTTCACTTTTTTCTGTGTTTTTTGCCATACTATACTATGTCGTTTTTTCACTTTTTTTGCCATAGTATAGTGTGTTGTTTTTTTCACTTTAGGGCCTTAATATACTATGATCTCTTTATACCTTACTATACTAGGATGTTTTTTGATGTTTTTATGCCTTAATATGCTATTTAATTTTTTCACTTTTTTTGCCATAGCATAGTATGTTGTTTTTTTCACTTTAGGGCCTTAATATACTATGATCTCTTTATACCTTACTATACGATTCCATTTTTTCACTTTTTTCTGTGTTTTTTGCC